TATATATATATATATATATATAAAGGAATTGATATTTGAAAATCTGAATATAATCTGTATGAATATGAACGCATATATTAGATGTAATCAAATCCAATCGTAAATATCGAATCGTTCACATTATATTATAACTTATAATATTAATTGTAATTGATTGACGGTTAAGTTAACATTTGAGAGAAGTTAATGGAGGTTTTTTCCGTCGCATCAATTAATGGAGAAATTCTACAAAAAATGAAACTTTAATTTTAATGTAATTAAGTTAAATCGCGGTATCGTGATTAGCTATTATAATAAAAATAAAAAAGCTCCGTACAGTTCTTGAAATTAATTTTTTTCTCAGAAAAATAAATGCATTTTTAATTTTTAAATATGAATAATATAAACAAATGTTATTTAAAAGAATAGTCTTGACATTTATGTTAATTTTTTGAAAATTTTGTAGCCTGCAATCAACAAATTTATATATTATTTATTTACTGTTTTACTTTACAAGTAATGATTAAGCGATAAAATCGTCTCGACATCTTCTCGATCACTTTTTTTTAAATATGCTTCACGGCGTCTATCGTCTCGGTGAAATCAGCGACGTTTGTCCCTGGCGCATCTCGGATGTGACGTAATCTCGCGTCGTCGATGTACGGGCGTGGAGTTTTATGCAAACGATCCCGTAAATCATTTCATCCACGCTCCATCGAGTCGCTCCCGAAAGTCGACCCCCTTTCCTGCCGCCTTTCGAAAACGGGCCTACGCCGTGACCGTAACGTTTTTTTTTTTTTACATACGTGAAATGTCGCGTCCGATACCACGAAGGTCGAAAGTATATCACTCTCGGATTCGACATGCCGCGAGATTAAAAATTCAATCTCATCTACGCGACACGTGGATCGATTCGGTTATGCAGTTCCTAATAAAGTGAATAGTTACTTTTGCATTTTTATTGTTGTATTTTTGCACGTCCCTAATGCGTACTCTAATCTTGAAGAACTGGATATTTACTGCATTCAACTTGCCAGCTTTGTGCGATATATAACAGTTACCGTTAGGAAATCGTTCGGAGCTATGAAATTATCTCATGCACGTCAATTGGCCCGATTTGTCATAAGAAATCATGTCGTAAGAGACGCCTTTATAACGATTATTTGCCGCCGATAATGCTCCACGCGAACAAATCGATAAAATATCAGGTCGGGTTAATCTGTACACTCGGATGACGTACACACTCCGTTATGTTGTCTAAGTCATCTACTTAAACAGGTTCCATCATTTCTGTACTTGCTTATACGAGACCTTTACCGTTTTCTCGCTCTTCATCTCGCATTATTCGAAATAAATAACTGCGCGATATATTTTTATATTATGTATTATATTATTAAATTACAATTTTAAATCAATTGCAGCTGGTAAGAAAGATATTAATAATATAATTATTGATACAATTTTCCAATTAAAAATACCAAAAAGATATTAATTATACAAAAGTAAGAATATTATATACGATCAAGTACGCTCTTTATGTATTATACGTCAAACAAACGCATAAGCGCATCAGATTATAAAGAATATATTTCCAATTTTAATTATTTAATTGACGTTAATTTTAGATTATCTATTAAATTTCGCAAATACTAGTTTATTCACAAGAACCTACCGGAAGTATAATTTCTATATATTTCTGAGATAAATTAACAGCTCAAAAGATATTGCATTTATATCAGATAACTGGAGCACGACTTCCTCTTTGTTGAGATAAATGTCCTGTAAGGAGATAGAAATATAAGAATTAATACGCGTTGAGTTTGCAGCGTTTTGATGCTGTTATTTAAACTCACCACTTACGTCGTATTGCAAAACGTTACAATGGGCCGTATACGCCACACGCCCTCAAAACAAGTAATACAGTTCGGCTGCGGGACGGCATAAATACCATCCGACCGGTTTGCTCGACTAATCGATTTTTCACATAATCCTTATCGGAGTATTAACGTCGCTGAACCATTCTCGAAGCCGCTCACGGCCTGGCATACGTTTACCATCCCTCCGACGATATGTGCTCGTGTATCTTCCCTCGGGCGAGCTCAACAACTCCTACGATATCGGTCATTAAATTAATCGGATATATCCGGCCGCCTTTCGCGGTCGGCCGTAAAATTAAGCGGCGATCGAACGTACTGCCGGTACGAAACTGAAAATAATCTCCATTTTCGGGCGCGAGTTGAATTCGCACGCGCGCGCTCGCTTCCTCCGAATTTCGTCTGCGAATTCTCAAATCCGTGGTTCGAACAGCACTCGACGCAATTAATCTAGATGAAATTAATTCCGATTTGCGATTGAAAGAAGTTAGAATATTAATAATAACATAAAGATAATAATTAAATATTATAGTAAGTAAAATAATAATCTGTGTTTCTCTCTCTCTCTCTCTCTCTCTCTCCGAGTATTAATTACTATAATAACTAATCTAAAATTAATAATCAAATTAATGATGGGAAAAAGTTATTTTCCTTTTCATCCATATATATATAGCGAGATTAATCATAGCAGTGAAAACGGGTCACGGTTGGTCAGACTCGAGGGGGCGGCCGTCTGGTCAGGTTGGGCTTTACCTCCTGAATAAAGTAACTTCGACGCCCGGACAGGTAGGATCCCGACCCGAGACCGAACTCGCTTTTGCCGCATCTCTACGCATGCACTGGTAAATAACGTGTTTGCGCGTTCACCGGCCCACCGTCCGCGACTGCTACCGCATTGGCTATTTTCCTAGCCGACGCGATGCCTGTTTGGCGCGAGAACTGCAGGAATAATCTCTACAAAAAAATATTTAATGAACACGATGTATATTTGCAGAAAGATTGAAAAATCGAATGAAAAGTGAAAACGATGGTTTGTCTCAATTTAGATCTATATAAAAGAGAAAATGTCAATTTGTTTATTTTCGGAAAAGTTCGAACAGAACAAATGAGAATTGAACAAATGATGTTCATTGTTCTCGCAAAATATTTCTGATATGTCACTTTGTAGATTATTGCCTTTCTAATATTTGTTATTTTAATTTGATCAAGAAAAAGGCATTTGATATTTTAAAATCCGAAATTTATGAATCCTTGCACATCTTTCATTTTTTAAAATCTTTTAAACACTTGCAGTGTACAAAACACTTAATATACAATCAAAATAAAAATGAGGGTGAAAGATATAAATTAATAAAATATTCTTTATCTATAGAGCGCGGTGATATGCGCCGCGAATGATTTCGTGTAGTAATTTAATAATACTTGTCTTCGTGTAATGGATAATCAATATTCTAAATATGATCTTTGTCAGTCAACGAAATTTCGTAGAAAAAACAGGTTATTAGAATGAAAAAGTTCTACTTAAGTTTGAGAAAAAACCGTTAATAATAAATTAGTTTACACAAATATCTTTTTGATCAAAATAATTTAAGGTACATTTTTCTTTTTAACACCGAAAATACCAACATTTCTTCTTACTAAAAGAATCAAGCATAATTAATTACTGTCAAAATAAATAAAGTGATGAAAAACCATACATTAATTATTTTATTTCAGGATAAATGAAATAATTGAAGAAAATTCAAAATTGTACCTTTTATAAGAAATCGAATATTAATCTAGAAAATAGAAACAGTCAGTAACCGTTCGGTATTTTTAGCATATTTAGAATTAATTTAAGTGCAATAATAGCTTATTTACGAAAGTTTAAACTGTTATTAATAGAGCTTGTGAAAAAAAATTAACTTCTGAATTAACGATTCATAAAAGTATTCAAACACTAGCTCCTTTTATGACTTCGTGTGATTTATTCATGTAAACAAGCGCGCGGGGAATAGAAAAGTTATAAACAATTGTTACACTATAATTATCTTTCAACGAGGCTTGTATTCGAACATATGCTATATATGTATATGTTTAAATTTTCAACACTTTGAAATTTCGCTCTTTAAATTTTCATTGATTAGTAATTTGAAATATATAAGGAGAGTAGAATATACGACATACAATTCACTTTTAACGCCTTATTTCGTATAAACAATGCGACCTTGGGGTTTCTTTTTGTTGAGTATAATAATAATAGCGTGGCGCGCTGGCTGTTACACGCGCAAGCCGCAAGGTCGCTGCGCTATCATTCGAGCCTTGAGCGGGCAGGTTAAGTAGTGGCGCGCCGGGCGCGCGTTGCTTCGCGGTGCGCGTATTACTCCGCAAATTACAAGACCAAAACACATATTAAATACGGTAATTTCTTACGATTATTACAGTCAGCGATTGCTTAACGTCGATTAATTAACTACAGAATTAATAATTCGTACGTGAAAGCAACAGTTTTTATTGAATGAAGCAGATATTTTACGCACTATCGTTGATCGCGTCGCGAGTCTAAGCGAGCGAGGTTAGGTAGTGGAGCGCGTTCACGCGTTGCTCCCCCCGTGCGCCGTATTATTCCACAAAGTTCGAACAAAATTCATAACAAATGTTGAACGTGGTAATTTTTTACGATCATTACGGTTAACGATTGCTAAACGTCGACTAATTAACTACGGAATTAATAATTCGATCATACGTGAAAGCAACAGTTTTTCGAACAAAGCGAATACATATATATTTTACGCGCTATTATGCGCACCACGAAATTTAAGCAGATATAGGTTAGATTGTGGCACGCGTCGCTCCGTGCACCGTATTATTCCGCAAAGTGCGACAAATCTGTAGTAAATGTTAAATACGGTAATTTTTTATGAACTCATTACAGTTAGCGATAGCTAAACGGCGATTAATTAACTACGGAATTAATGATTCGTACGTGAATTAAGCAACAGTTTTCTGAATAAATTGCGAATACATATTTTACGCGCTGTTTTACGCACCGCGAGCGGGCAGGTTAGATTTCGTAGCGCACGCGTTGCTCCGTGTGCGATATTATTCCGCAAAGTGCGACAAATCTATAGCAAATGTTAAATACGGTAATTTTTTACGATTAGCATTTCATTACAATATTAGCAATTGCTTTATAATTAACATCAATTAATTAAGTACGAAATTAATGATTCGTACGTGAAAGCAATAGACGTTATACTTTTTTAATGAAACAGATATACATATTTTACGCGATCTATTTACTCAGATTAAAGAATTCTCAGATTAGAAACGAATAGGAATTGTATATTATTTAATCATATTATCTACATATATGGGTCATTTCTTCAACGGTATTTTTCATGAATATATCATGATGTCACTCGTTGAATTTCTTACCACTCAATAATGGACAAATTGTATATTTTCAATATGAAATCATGAAATGATACAATTAACCTATAATTTAGGTCAAAAAGTCGGACGATATATTACAACTGTATATTAATATAAATTATTATTAAATAATTAGAAGCAAAAGAAACCAATAAATATTCGGCACGAATTTATTTTATTGTTTGTTAAATATTTCGTGGAATTTTAAAAATCGTTTAGTACGCGGGGCGAAATTTGTTTTTCACGGCGCACGACGCGTCGTGTTTACGTTAAGGTCACCGTGTTGTTATCAATCGGCCGATAGTAGCGGCGCGTGTCGCTGCGTACGTAGCGGTGTATACCTATTGTTATGCCGCGATCGCGACAAGTGCCAGGAGAAAGCACTATCATTCTCCAGCTACTTGATGACCAAGTAATACTTCCCAACCATGCAATTAGTTGGCTTTCACGATCAACGACTCGTAAGCGTGTCGACGTGATGATTACTCATCGAAGTGATGTAATAAAGCGTGCGTTTCGTGAGACTTACGTCGGGAGTGTCGTAAAGTTAAGTGACGCGCGATCTTCGGGAGTGTGCTGTGCGAGTTCAACGAAGGACCACCTAGAGAGGAGGAGGAGGCCTGGGAGAGGCATTAGGCAATGACGGAGCAATCATGGGGTAGGTCATAGGCAATTTAATACCTATTCATTATTTGATTTGTTACCTCAGATATACTTGAAAGACATCGAAAATGAGACATTTATAATATTTCATATAATATAACATGTTTCTTATTTTTACAGTGTGACACAGTCTGCGATACGGTTAACAACTCCACTGTTGCGCATTGGTGAGTCAAATAATCTTTAATTTTATATTAAAGTATAATGGACTTACGAAAAAATGATGTCAGACTTATATTCGAGATATTATATTATGTCTGAAAATATTTAAAGTTTAATAATAACATGAATATATTTCTGGAATCCGTTGCCTTAATATAGATGGGCTACAACATATTAAGGTCAATAATTTGATCTTGAAATATTTTTTTACACTTTAAAAGCATTAAAATTTTCAGGAAATTAAAAGCATTATAAGGATAGAATTAATAATATTTTTTGTTAATATTGTATCAAGTGTATTATATAATTAAATTCTCAAGTTATTTTCGAAAACTAGTGAAAAAAAATAAAAAAAGATAATGAATTAAAATAAAACTTGTAAGAATTGCAATAAATATACTGATGTTTCATCAATGTAAAGTTGATGTAAAACTTTTAAATTTGATTTAACTTTCTTTATAGTATTCTGATATGTTGTAACCCATATTAACTTGAAATAACGTATTTTTGATGGATACTGAAGATCGAAGTAAGATGTTATATATGTGTATATGTATATAAAAATATTATATAAAATATTTAATAGGGAAAAATTGTAAATATGTAGACATGTTGATTCGTTTTGCCTTCTCTCCTTTTCCCATATTTTTTTTTCATAAAAAGTCCGCGCTTGGCCTCCATATCATTTTTCAAGATTAAACTATTAGGTAGTTCTATAAGTTCTCGGGATTTTGTAGATAATTTTATTTATTTACAATAATTAAACAATATCTTTATTTTCAATCAAAATATTTGCCATTGCTTGCTATAACTTTTGATCATTTTTTCGGCAGTAAGTGAATTCCTCGACGAAAAAAGATTCATCTTTCGATACGATAAAATCATCAATCCATTTTCGGACTTCAGCCTCACTTCAGTTATAGCAAACAATTGCAAATATTTTAATTAAAAACAAATCTATTGTTTAATTATTGTAAATAAAAAAGTTATTTAAAAAATCCCGAGAACTTATAGAACCACCTAATAATATAAAGGTAATATTCAGAAATGGTTTTCAATTTATATATATTACAAAAATAAAAAGACGATATTTTACAGTCACATAGCACATTTTAATTAATTAATTTCATAAAAATATGCGCTAATGTTTGTTAATTATATTTATTTTTGTATAAGCTATTTTTATATTAATTTTTTATAGCCTATCCATCTATGTTTATAACTTGATTTTTTTATTCAAGATAAAGCAAAGTGATGCAAAGTTAATAAATATTTCATCGTATATAAAACAAGTATAGAAGAATTTTTTTTACAGATTATGTCAGAGTTCATTAATCACATTTAATCATTTATAACTCGGAAACTCTTGTAACTTGACATTTTCACTATAGGATTCTCCACGTTAATTAATCTTGAGAATTATATACATTATTAACGTATCATATCCATGACTCGCGCGAGTCACATCATCGTATTACAAAAATATATAAATCAATTCTGACTCTATTCATCCGATTTAACCGCAAGAACATGCGAACCGGACAAGGGACAAAGAGAGGGCCTGTGTCGCTGCACAGATTATCCCAGAACGAAGGAGGCAGGAAGGGAGGGTCCCGTCAGGACTGACTTGTCTGAAACGTGGGCGGGTAGAACTGGTTTTCGCGTGTCCACCGAAAGGAACGAGGAAAGGAGCTCCTCGTCTCTTTACCTGAGACATGGGGCCCCCTCGT